ACATAAATTTTGAATCACCATGTATATTAAAAATGAATAGTGTACAATAAAATATGTACAAATWATTTATTATATTTAGTATATAGTATATTATACTAACATTTTTTTATTATTATAACATAAAGATATAAAAAACCCGGGACGGAACTAGTATATTTTAAATCACACTTATACGATACTATATTAAATCTAGATACTAGATTTAAAAATAAAAATAGGCCCCTGGAAACCCGTAGGTTTCTACCATGCCCATGTGGGAGGCGGCAGCTTCTTTTTCCAGACAGTGTAAACCAGAGGCGGATAGTATACTGCTTTTGGTGCACTGCACTACCAATGTTAGGGGGATGGGTGGTCTTGGTTGAGCATATGCTGACCGCAATGTTTAATTTTAATGTTCAATAAATTAATAAAGTAATAAAGTACCTAATCAACATTTGATAAATGATAATCGTGGCTGAAACGCCTGAAACTGTTGAAAGCGTCRAGTTAAGAATATAAAAACTATAAATTTATAAAAAAATGTTTATTTGTAATTTCTATGATTGTGGGGGGGTGTCTATATATTATCTTGCACCAATTAGCATAATACATTCAAACCGTCTCTAGCGTGAACTGCCCGGAAAGCGATGACGCCCATGATCGGGATTCGAACCGGTGACGGTGCACTTCACAGTATTACTTTTCGTGTACCTATTAACTGCTGTTCCATATTTTTTAATCATCAGGTGAACTTATGAAAATAAATTTTCTTTATTCAACATTATATATAGTCGTGTCCAATCTTTCTTTAAAGGCGTACCGGCGTACCGCTCTCCTTCAATAAGTTTTAGTCTGAATGTTATAAAATATTATTTATTTATTATGATCTCGAATAATGTATTAAATTTATTATTTACTTATTTCGTAATTCTATTAATTTGTCATTTAGATTTAATTCATTTTTTAATTGGTATGAATCATTATTTCGTGTTTTTTCAAATATTGAATTGAAGTGTTCCATCTTTCATATCAATGTTCGTGACTTTTGTGTTTCCAATAAGTATTTATTCTTTTAAATAAATTATTCAGTTATTATCATAATATATATTTTAATAATGAATAATTATAATGTACTTAGTTTAAAATCAATAACGATTAACAAATTTTATTGTGATCTATGCTTAATAGGTCCACAAGTTGTCGGTTTTCAAGTCCATTCAATTTCTATTTAATAAAACTATATTATAACCCTYTGATGATATTATTAATTAATTTTATTAGTTAATTACCTTTATAAAAATATCTTTAGGATCCGAAAAATCAATTGAACACATATTACCATCTCTGTAAAGTATTAGTCG